CTTACAGACTGTTGACACAAAGTCGTTGGTAATCAAGGTTTTTGTTTTTGAGAGTAATTATTGTTGTTTTCAATTGAATTTAAGTATAATTTTTGATATGCCCAATAATGTGGAGCGTTGTGCAAAAACATTTGCGTCAGCCGGGATTCGAACCCAGATCTTACTCTTTCCGGGAGCGTGTGCTGAACCGCTGCACCACCAACTCCCGTTTTCCCCAACACTCTTTTTACGCAACAACGTGTTATCTGTCAACAGCAAACCGTCAACGGTCTGGAGGGGTAGCCGCTATCGGCATTGAACCTTTAAGCTTTGAATATTCAGCGGGTGTTAAGAAACTTTTTCCTCAGCCTGTTATATGTCACCCACTGCTACCGCCTTCTGTGTCTTCAGTGAGATGCATCGACGAGCTTCATGTTCCTTTGCTCCAGCTTCATTCTCCAAACACTTGAAATTCATGCAACAAACTTTATACCTTCTAACTTGAGAATGAAGAAATTAACTGTTTTAAATAGATGAGTAATTCATGTTCCATGCCAGGATTTCGGTAACGACTGCATAGGTGATTAGATATTCAACCTATGAAAAGCAAATTAGCTACTCTTACTTAAAAAAAGAAATTTTATATGGTTTTTTCCGCTAACTCGGTAGCAAATGAGTATTCGACTCCACTCGCTGTACAAGAACTTTTCACAAGAGCGTTTATTATACTTTGATAGTTTGAATCTCAGGCTAAAGTCGAAGGTAGCCGGTTTTTGAATAGACTCTTTTATAACGATATAAAATTCAAAGTAAAACTATGTTTCACAGCGGCTACGCAATCCAACTATCACTTCGCTAGAAGCACGAGGAGTACATGAACAAGTAAAAAATGCCCTAGTTTCAGGGATAAACGTTCAGTTTGGATCTTATTTCAGTGCGGAAAGCAATTCTTAATTGAATAACAAACATCGTACTTTTTTGTGAGAAAATTGATCGACCATCGCGTCAGCCCTCTTACCGCCCACCGCGCGGCTCGTTAATTGGCCAAAGAACACATGATCGCTTATGTGAATCAATCCTATTTTTTCTGCGACACTACAGACAAAGGGTCTTGTCAGAAATTATGCACAGCGTTGGAATTTCCAAATCTTATGCTATTGAATGATCACTACTAGTCTGAAGAAAGAGCTTCTGTCCGGCGAGATGCACAACACAAATGTTCTATTTCGTCTACAGCACTATCAAAAGAGCTTTCCAAAAGAAAAACACATTTTTGAGTTCTCCGAGACTTGTGCTGTCGAAAGAGTATTAACAGTCTATGGAAGGAGTTTTGTCTAGCACAAGTGCAAGCCAGGAAAAAAACGTGTGGTCGTGTGACACACAAATGTATTCTGGTTTTTACAGCAGTATACAAGGATTTCTGAAAAAATCTGCTACTCAGATATTTAACCAAGGAAATAAGCTTTCGAATGATTACTAACACTCCAATGAAAACTTCTTGTCCACCGAAAGACTCTATTCTTGTTTAGTTCAACTCTAGTTCAAAAGACTTTTCTGTATTTGTTTCGAGATAACCGAAAACAACCTTAATGCCAACTGGAATTCGCCTCATTTGACTGCTTTTAGCGGTGGTATGATGTTACATATATATCCAATGATGTTGAGTGATGTACAAAGCTTTTGCGTCAAGCGGGACTCGAACGCACATCTCCTTCGATCCGGGAGCACGTGCTATAATCCCAATGCACTACTGACGCCCATTTGTGCACCAATCTTTCTATGTTCCCTTTCTATAGAGTGAGATATGTGTTCGAGTTCCGCCTGACGCCAAAGTTTTGCACATCACTCTGCATCATTGGGTAAATCTCAATGCCATTTAAATGATCGCAAGAAGAAAGATGTGTGGTTGGCTATTGCAGTGACTTCGAGCAGTATAATGCTTTCAAAATGACTGCCTATTTCAAAATTGTGAGATTTGTCCACCTTATAGTTCTAGATCTGTGTTTCATGAATAATAAGAGATCATGAGTGTGAACCTTGGGTACTGTTATATTTTCAAACAGTGTAGGTAAACGCAATGCGTGTTCCCACAGCATTTGCTACACCACGAGTACCTTTGTGTTCTCTCTTCCTGACAGTTTCCTCTAAGCTCGGCCTTAATCGGTTTATTTAGTAAACCAGCGTGAAGAGGAAAAGAATGGAATTAGTCATTTTTTTGGGATTTTGTTACTTCAGAATATACACTTAAAGGGAACTCTTCTGGTTCAACTGTTTTGGTTCTGGAAGACCCGAAGTAAACCTTGTTGGGACTTTCTCGAGTTGTAATCACATCAAAACAGTCGTCGGTCCTCTTGGATCAGAGGGTAATTACAACATTGCGTTTAACAGCTAGCAAGACGGTGGAAATTCCTGCTACTGCTTACTCCCAGCTGAGCTTTCCGGGTGGAAACGTCGGACTCTTCCTCAGCTTAGGTGGCACTCTGGCCCTGGTTATACCCCACGCTGTACTTCGCAGCCCGACATCCGGAAACACCTTCTAGTCACAACGAGTAGGCAAGCCATCTGAGAGAATTTCAGAATATAAGCAGTTGTAAATTAAAAGTTCTTTGTAGTCACTTTTTTTTTGAGGAACTACGAGCAATGAAACCCTATATAAATTACTAGATGTCGTAAATAACAAGGTGAAATGCAATCCTCTATCTCGTGATAAACGTCTTCTATCTCTACATATAAGTCATCACTGTCAAGTACGTCTCAACAATAAATTTTTTAGCACAGTCCAAACTGTACTGATGAATCTCAATTTCCATCTACTTCTTGCCATTTTTGTCAACATCACTCAGTCCTCTCTCTTCGTCTCGTCTTCTCTTAGTAGAATAATTAAAAAGAATGTCAAATGTGACATACGACAAGAACAAGATGCTCCCAACAAGCATGTCTTTTCTGAACTTTTTGTTAAGAGAAAACTGTATGAAAATCAGCTTGAGTATTTGAATGTCCCGTTTTACAAAAAGCAGAGATCTGAAAATCCTGCCGATGCCAATGCATTTGCCACTTTCCTTTTTTTGTTGAAACATACCAGATTATTTTGCATTTCCTTAGGTTCAATCCGCATCATAAATGCTCCGAAAAATAACTGTTTTTTAGCCTGTCTGTTGACAGAGTTCACTGTGGAATCCTTACTCTTCTGACGTTTCCTTAATCTTTGTTTTTGCACTTTCCTTCATGGTCTTCCCTGTCATTCTTTCTTCTCTTTAGGAGAATGCTACTGATAAGCTCTAACACGCAATTTCAATACTTTTTTCTTCAAAAGAACTTTTACGGGCAATAGTTTAGCTTTAAATAGTCGGACACTGAGAGGATTTCTGCACACGTTTCTTCAATAGCATCCTCTTCAGTATTAATAGCCTAAATACTATTTCTTTTACTTGCTATTTGCTAAATGCCTCTTCAGTATTAATAGCGTAAATAAATGCTATAAATGCTATATCTTTGCAGTTCATATTGTTATTTACGTCTTTTTCCTACTGCTTTCTTTCCACCTTGCCATAGAAAGATTCCACAGAATTTTTTTTTGCAAATATGCTCGAATCACCAAATCTTGCGCATTTTATTTGATGAAACCTCCATAAACTTTATTCAGAATTGTACACCATCCAAATTTGCCTTTCATAAATCCTCGCTCAATCTTTTAGTCTAAAATTGCTTTGCATTATATTGAAAATTTCTATTCCTTTCTGTCGAAAACTTTTCAGTGTGTTTACGCCATTTTTTGCTACCAATTTCAGGTAAAATGATCAGACCGTTGATGTTTTCGTACCTAATCATTGTCCCCATTGTGTCGTCCATTCTTCCTTCATATCGAAATAACCAGCTGATGAGTCTCCTTGGGTAAGTTGCATCATTAACTCAAAGATCGAGAGGTGATGAAGATTACACGAATTCAGTTTGTGAAGTTCTAAGACTGAAGTGCGTATAAAAATTCTAAATTGGCGAACTGGTACCCAACTCTTTTAAGATTTTACCTGTTGAAATCAGAACGACTGTTTCCCATTATTATGAAAAAATAGTAAGCACCACATATTCCATTTTCCGATTTTCAACGTATAAGTAAGATCTATGCTCTAGCAGTGCTTTGTAAATTGGTGATCTCTTCTTTGATTTTCTATAAGAAGACATGTAACCTAATTTAATATTCTATGCACTGATACAGAACTAAAATAATTAGCAGGGCGTATAATTTTTCCAAGCTTTCAAGCTTCCGTTTAGATCAACTTCAACGGCTGCAGATGCTTATCCGGAATGGGTGTTACAAGCAACAAGAGCTGTAAAAAAATACGATCGGAACTGCTTTTTCAGCCCTGTGCAATGCATGCTCGGTTTCACTCAAGGGCAAGAACATCCAATCGTCTATACAGCAAATGGCAATCGTCGACTTTACTATCGAAAGTGAATAAAGAAGGCACTTAGCGTCTGAGCATTACTGTTTTGATTGCATTATGTGGTTCAAAACCCAGTTATTTGTTATGCGTGGTATTCCTCAGTATCAGAATAAATTGCCGAGAATAATAACTTCTCACATCTAACACTTTATATTTGATTTTGATAACATCTTATGCAATGGGTGAAAAAGAAAATTGACAGCGCTGTTCTCAAATATAGAAACATTCTGATTTGATGATTTAAAAATATTAGGTTGCTCGGAAACTGATGTCCGTTTATAGTTGCTGGCATATTGTAGCCCAGAACATGCTTCGTCAAACGAAGATGAATTTCAATGAATATGTACAATCTTACAGTGAAAAGCAGGCTTATTACAGTAGCCCAATCTCTAAACTGTGGAGTTTCTCAGGAACGGAATGATTTTGTAGTTTAATTACACTCAAACGCATAAATTTTTTTCATTGAAATACAATAGCGTAGGAGCTCTTAAGAATCAGAATGCTTCTTATTTGACCGTCTTTAGCGGTGGTAAGACCTTATGATATACCCAATCATGAAGAGTGATGTGCGAAGACATTTGCGTCGGCTGGGATTCGAACCCATATTTCACTCTATCCAGGGGCGCGTGTTGAATCGTTGCATTACCGACGCCCGTTTTCACACCACTCTTTCTCCGCCGGAGCTACACGCCCCGCTAGTCACCTCTGGTGATAGTAAGGACGAGAAAACATGGCAGGTCTACTCAATGTGAAATTGTAGTCTAAACAAATTTTAGTCGATATCTTACGGCTGTTATCAAGAATATACACTTGCTTTTCGCTCGATCTCGTCACAAACATTCTCTCGGGCTATATTGAATGTTTATAGCGAGGTTTGAGAAGAGTCGATTGGAAGACAAATTCGTCATTAATTTCTGAACGCTACTATCTTACAATCAGTGGCGTACATAAGTCTATTTGAGCATTTCCAATACTGTGTAGGTAATCATTACCGTAGCTCATTACCCTAACCTTGTACTCCCATACTGATCGGTTTATCGGGATAACACTGAAATGACGTAAGTTTTTGACCTTACTAAAGGTAGGAATATGGACTTTACAATCATATTAAGCGAAAAAGTAGGGCTCTAAAGTGTATCTATAAATGCAATATCTGCAGTAGAGACAACGAAAAGTATCAAGTACTATAAGTACTGTAAAGTCTACATTTGAGTTGACAAGTCTTTTGACAATGAAGAAGGGATATCTTTGATTACTTTGCCACAGGAATATTTGAAATAACATTTCATTACTGAGGGCATAACGATCGAAAAAATGCAGAAAAGTTGAACATTTATGGAGATAAATTACAAAAGCACATGAAAAAATGGATTAATATGGTGCGAAGCACGAGTTGAGGGTGATGCCTCACTCGACGGCAATCTAGTCAATCGTACTGTACGAAAGTGTCGATCGAAACAACCCATGTATTGGGTCGTGCAAAAAGTGCGTGCTGTTTTAGCTTTTTAAATGACTTTTGCAATGGAATTGCACGATCTTGGTACTATTCAGTTGCGCATTTTTCTTGCGAACGTTTTGGAGTACAACTTGCCTATAGTTCTATTGCAAAAATCATATTAAGAAGCCAAAACGGCATGAACTTACCGCGCAACCTATTACGATGGTTCGAGAGAATTCAATAGAATGGAGCCATTACAGTACAAAAGTAGTTTTAGAGAATGGCCGAATACAGCAAGCACTCCTGCATCATTTGGTAACTAATAATGGGAGCTATAGCAGGCGACACGACTTCATGTTGCAAAATTAGCAGCTCGAAGGCTAAATGACTTACGTTGTGAACTCTACTTTCATACGTTCTGTCTACCAATGCTGCCATCAATAGATATTCAATCCTCCAAAAATTTCATCAACTTTATTCATGGAAAACATTATTATAAAGAGACAAACAAAAAACTTTGAGAATATTGTTAATCCAGAGGTTCGAGTGATACCTGAAAATGAGGTGACTTGAAAATTGGCAATTATTCTTCGAAATGGCAGTGCGAATGTTGCACACTGCATCATCAATGCCCTTACCTTGCCTTTTCTCGGCCATGTTATGCCCGTAACTCTGCTACTAGCAATCATCCATCAACGATAGTGGTCTGGTGAATACAAGTCACCATTGAACGCAGTTAAGCTAAAGTTATAGTTGAGGTCACATTTTTTGGCTCACAATTAATGCCTATTCCTAACACCTGATAGCACCGCTACGATTAAAAATTGCTAAAAGAGAGGGCAATTTAAGAACCTCGATGATGCGGTGTACAACATGTATGCTCTCAGAGAAAGCAATTCGTTTGTTCAAAGTCACTTCAAAATTGAAATTTTGCTCATATCTCCAGTTGAGGGAATTTTTTATGCATGATAATCCTTACATTACATCACGTTTACTGATTGCAGTGGTTCTTACCTTCGCTGGTAGGATTGCATTTCACTAAAGCCATAACTCTTTGAACATTTCTTTATCACCTTACGTCAGCGATAAATAATCAGAAATTTGAAGGGAAACCCAAACGAGCTATCGACTACTGCTATTGGAAGATATTTGCTAATTGCAGTAGATGAACGAAGAGCGTAAGCGAGAGAACGAAGGATTACACATTTACGAAACGATGGCATTGAAGACTTGTTTATCAAATGAACGGTGAAAATTTATTGCTGCTGGATGAAAAAGTAGAAATTGATGGAAAGGTCAAGTAAATAATTTCGAAAAGTTTCTAGTTAATGTAACAGAGGAGGCATTAGAAGAGCCGACACTAGCAAGATCAGTATATTAGTAATTTAGCATGATTTTAACACCATCTAAGTGATATGCCTCTTCTCTTACTGTCCTACTCACTTGCAGGCGCCTTTTCATTCTCTTGCTCCGACTACTTCATGCTTCTGATTCGATGTCACACCATTTGATATCATTTGGTGTAGAAATCCTTGCTTGCCGTAGACAATTCCGTAAACACTGCCACTTTTCTCCCATCGCTGAACTTTGGCTACAAGCGGCGTAATATTTTCGTCTTCATTTACCACATTATGGTCAGCTTTGTTATACAAAGATCACATAATATGATACGTAGTTATGAAAGTAGTCACCAATCGCGAATAGTCCATTCTCTTGTGACGAATCTCTTCTGCGAAATAACAGGTAATTATGTAATTATGGAGGATACACCTGAGGTAAGCCATAAAATCACACTATATGACAACTTACGGAGATGTCAATCTCAATACCGTTTGAATGAACGTCGTTGACGCTCGCTCCCAATGCTAATTTTCGCTAACAAGATGAGCGATCGCATTTGTGCAGCATTTCTATATAATACATAGCATGTTTTGTAATATCAAATCAATTAGGAAGTCGGCAATTACCCATAGACGTATACATGCGCACATTCAGTGTACTGCCATGGAATGAACCATCCGAATGATGAACGTCTTCCCAACATCGTCTCAGTAACACGCCCATCGAACGCAGTTCTTCACGCTTGCACTGAACACCATACACAAGAGAACTTTCCTTTTGTACGGGTCACTGTTCAGTGCACTTGTTTGGCTGTCCGTTCCTCTATGGCATTTTTCTCGTATTCGTCATTTCATAACTACTAACATCCAGTGCAAGATTTTTTCTTCTTTTCTATACCCCGGCTACTGTTTAAATCCTTCACAAATACCTGATTGTAATTTGTCATACGGGCACATTGGTTACTTTGGTGAACATCGAATTATAGTTGTTTACAGCGATATTTTCTCGTTTGTAGTTTCTGCCGCAACTTACTGCCTTTCTCGTAACTAGTTCCATCAAGACTAAACTTCATCATAATCAAAAGCAAGTAATGTTCGGCAATTAATCTCCTGTTTTTTTAAAATCTTTTAGGGGGTGCGAGAAACCTAGTGGTTGAAAAACTATGCAACCACAAATATGTTTCAGCACCGTTCGGCGCCAGCCGAAGCTTCTACCCCTCCCACCAACTATCGATAAATTGGCCATAAGAATCTCTGATAATAGTCTTCTATTTCTCGGATCCACGAAATCAGTCACTGTTATCTCATAAAAGTTCTACTGAAGCTATCCCAAATTTCAAAGACAATCAAGTCAAGCGAGATTCATGTATTCAACCTCTTAATTCGGTGATGTGATCTTGTAATATACCCAATAATGTAGAGTGCTGTGCAAAAGCATTTGCGTCAAACAATGACCGTCAACCGGCTGACGCAAATGTTTTTGGAGAGCACTCCACATTATTGGGTATATTACATTCAAGTCAATCGGTGATTTTGACATTACGCACGGAGGCAAATTTTATTACTTGCTAATCAAGCTTGTAGCACGAGACTATTAGAAAGAAGTTTTTCCAGCTAACGTTTCAACGCATTTCAACCTCTTCAAAGCCAGTGATTCGCGTTTGTCGCACATTGTCGTTCAGTCGTTATGGTTTTCACTTCGTTTCGTTTGTTCAAACATTTTTCGGTGGAGCACTACCCGAATGATGAACCTAACTTGGCTAGCATCTTTTATGCGGGATGAAGTCCATGATAATTAGCTATCCGTTTTGATAACCAGTTAATAAACCCTTGACAGTGACAACACACTTGCTTTCGCCGCGCGACCTATCCTGCAAAAGTCAATATTATTAACTCGATCGAGACGGCAATAACAATCACTGCGCAAGTCGTAAAATGGCGCGTCAATTTCGTTAATCACTAAGGAATTTGTTCTCCGTTTTAGCAGACTCTTGGTTTCTCGTCTTACTTTGATACATCAAGATTGACTCCACACGCCCATACAATTTTGTACCATATAAAGTTTTCATGTGTTGAGAAAAACGATGGTCTAATACGCGATCATAGTGTTTTTCGCTTTCAAATAAGTTCAATAAGTTTTACGCTGTTACATTATGATTCTCTAGGTTTCGGTTGTCCTCATTATATACTATACCTAAAAGGTGTCACAGAGATTGGGAATCAGGAAACATTGAGAAGTTGGTCAAAAAATAATACTACACACCGCATGCAATACCACTTCAATGATGACTCTTTATAAATTTTATATTATTCGTGTAGGTCAAACTGTTAGGGGAACAAATAGAATCAAAAGATATACTTACTTTCATCATTTTATGGGTATTAACTACTTATCATTTACTTATACTTTACTATGAACATTCTTCGGTTCTTATCTGTGAGACGGCGGCAAGTGAAAAAGCGATCACTTTCACTGTACGAGAACTTTTAACATGAGAGTTAGTAATCATTCAAAAGCACAAATCTTTTGATAGAGCTGTGCTTGCCAGTTTTTCAAAAATACTATTTTATGCTTAAAAAGTTTAAAATAAATTGTGTTTTACATCAGCAACGCATTTCTACTATCACTGCGGTGGAAACACCAAAAACGTATAGACGTGTAGAAAAAATCTTGTAGTATCAGAGTAATTTGCTCAAGATGAAGTTTATTTCAATGCGAAGATAAAATTCCTGATCAAATAACAAAAACCGCATTCCATATGTTATTCGTCTGGGCGCCAACGATCGATTATAGCGGCAACCTCTCCCTACTGCCTCCTCCCCCTCCCAACTCCACAGGCAGTGAATAGGCCGAGAAACACATGCTCGCGTATG